AAAAATCATCATCCTCGAATCTGTCAAAGCATTTCAAGCAACAAGTTTCGATGGAAATAATATTTAATAAGGATTAAAAGCACATAACCAGCAATTCTGGTGTGATGGATATATACCAGGGAAAAAAATTATCTCATCAAAGAACCAAGGAAGAGTAAACATAGAAGTTAGAACTTGACATTAACCTGGAAATGACGTTTTGAAAAATTCTAAAAATTTTATATGCAAATTTAACATGTTGAGTCATGCCTAATATGTGTGCTCAACATGAATTAGTAAAAAAAATGACCACTTTTTTAAAGTGTTCATGCCTCAACCGAGAGTTGAGATGACTCGTGAAAAATTTTGCATAATCTTAGTGGATGACATACAACAATATCAAACCCTTGCCCCTTTTGTTTTTCACATCTCGGATATTAAACTATCGTTTAGATTGCTGCAAAATTTCTTGGAACAGAAAACTCCAGAATGTCATTCCTAAGAAAGTGATCAGACATGGGAATTTTTCACTCGTCATGCAACATAAACAAATGCTAACAGATCAGGAAAACTTAAAAAGCAAGCAAAGAACATAATGAGGACAATTAACGATTTTACTCTAAGAATCAGAGTTTGCAATGTTACCACTCAAAAGATCAGTATTAGCCAATTCTCTGGCATGACATGCCCAAGCAGCACCCAAGATAACTAGAAACAAGATCCCCATTCTCCTTTCCATGATGCCTGGAACAACCACAGAGTGCTAAGTCAACTTTCAATCAGGGAAGAAAAAAACACTTAATGAAAATTTAAGGGAAATTACAAGATAAAACATAAAAACAGAGGTAACAACTTCCTGACATGTATATATTGAACTTCGATGACATTCAAGGTGTACAGGATAACCGAAAACCATATCACAATATCATTCCGACGATGTGGTGTAAAGATCGAATCACCAACACAATCCTATTATATGAATAACCTATAGATTTCATGTCCAACCCCTCAAGAGTTCACAAGCCTACCCTGAGAACGTACGAGATGAGACTACTTGACCTAATCTATCTCATCAGGTCATCATTATAGAACTTTGTCCAACTATGAAATCAATATGCAGTTCAATAGGTAGGTACGGCATATTGTAAAGTGAGTTGATAAAATCAAATAAAGCAAGTACCTGCCAAAAATAAAAGAAGCTCAAGTTTCCTATAATCAATCAGCAACAGATTTCAGAGTTTAACTAAGAAGCAGGCTAGAACTGTTGAGAGCTAGGTCAACAGTATTGTCAATATAGGTAGAGCAGTCACAAGTATGACTGAACTATGATTTATTAACATAATAATCAATTAATTTATCAATCAAGCGTGCAGACAACGGTAACTGATAGGGTAGTAGTATTAATTTTGGGGCTAATAACACATGAAGCCGATCAGCAAAAGGAATTGATGTCAGGTGAACAAGATTCGCACAAGTCAACCATAACCATACAAGCATGAAGCCAACCAAAAAATAACGCGCAAATATAAATAAGATCGAATTGGAATTAAATTACAAGGGAAAAATATAAGGGGGCATGGAAATTCATAAACTTGAGCATCAGAATTGTAAGCCAGGGATAAAGTTCCTATTTTTGGGCAGATTTTCCTGGGAAACAAACCAAGCTAAAACTTAGAACACAAGAGAAAAGGGTTACCTCTATTAAAAGATGAGATACGGAAGCGGAAGAGAAAACCACCTGGATTCAAAGAGAAGTGAAGAAAATAAGAAGGCAGGGGAAAGAGACTATTTTCTCTTTGAAAGTTTGTTCCTTCACCTGCCTGCCGTGAAGGAGATAGAGTTCGCTACTGTGCGGGAAGGCCCACAGTAGTAGTATTAATAGGTCTCATCATATGGCCACGTGGCACTATCAAGAAGCGGGATTGACTCTGACAATAATTGGGAAAAAAAAAAAGGTAATTATAGAGCAAATATCTGGGTTTATCCGAATGTGCAGGCAGGATTGGATTATTCATGGGGAAGCTTCATCTGGTACGAAAGAAAGAGCTGGAAGATCGACAAGGCAAGGCATCGATTCAAATGGGATTTTTTTTTTTAAAAAAAAAGTAATCAATAAAAATATAAAACAATTTCGTTGAGATAATAATCTGAGAATGATTTTCTCCCCTTTGTCTTGAGTTCTGATCCTGATTTTGTGGGGCATTGAATCTTATCTTCCAGTTAGTTGAGTTTGAATTTAAATTATTTTTATAGATAAGAAACAGATTGAACATATCGCAAAAAAAAAAAAAAAGAAGAAGAAACTGATTAGGATGGAAAGCCAAAAAAATAGCTAAAAAACTGTTAGATTAGTATCCACAACTGGTTGACTAGCAGGCGGTTGGTGTGCGCGTGTGTTTCTGTTTTGAAGCAATAATAATCTAATATTGGATTTTTTTTAGCTGAAAATTTAATAGGAAAATTTTTTTAAAAATGGCCATTAAATTTTAAAATTTTAAATCAGGAATTACTAAAAAAATGTTTTGTTATTTACCTTTTGAATATAGACATTTTCTTTATGAGTATAGTAATCAATAATAATTTAAACTTTTAAAATGTAATAGTCTTTTTTTTGGGATTTTTCCGATCTAATATTGGATATTATCAGCATACATTCAAGCATTAAACTTTGTGAGTGTGAGAAAAAAAAGCCAAAAAAAAAAAAAATTGTAGCGTTAATAAATACTAGTTTTGGCCAAATAAATAAATAAATAAATACTAGTTGCATAAACATACTAAAAATTAATCTTTTGGGCCATCAACATGTTAAAAAAACCATTTAATCTAAATCACCATATTTATTACTCTTCCGACCCTTAATATAAGATTTATTTAACTAATTTGATTAGATTAAGAAAATTAGTTAATTATAAAAAATATGACATATTTTTTTAAAAATACTATAACTATCTTTCTTAATATCTTCCTTTCTTCACTTATTTGATTATGGTTGAAGGAATATCCATATAGCTAATTTAGGAAAAATTGATAAATATAATAAATAAGTTTTATAGAAATATGTCTTATATTTAGAACCAAAATTAACTTAACAATTAGGTCTTATATTAAAGAATAAAGAGGGGAAGAGTATTCAGCTAATACTAATAAGTTCAGTTTAGAAAGATCAAACTTCCTATGCTACCCTCAAGAGCCAAGACGTCTCTCACTTGACATAACAGGGAAATTATATAAAATAAAAATACAGATTCTGATTAGTCCATATTTGCATAATCCAACTTGAACCTTAAGTGGATCCTAATAATATCCGTGTATAATAATAATAATAATAATAATAATAATAATAATAATAATACAAAATCCATGCAAAGTTGTTGTTTGCAAAATATACAAATGAAAAGTGCAAAATAAATAGTAGAATTTTCTGGGAAAAAGATAAATAGTGGAAGTTTTTAAATAAGAAAAAATGAAAGAGAATTATTAGGGTTGTAGATTGACGCGCAGCAACAGACCATTGTAATGTTTTTTTTTTTTTTTAACATTTTAATTTTAAAATACTTAAAATATAAAATAAAAACACTGGAAAGCATTAACAATAACAAATTGGAGAGAATTGTGCGTTTCACCTACTAGTCCTTACCTATATTGGTAGTTCCATCAAATGGAAGCTACCAGTTGCCTAACTATGTAGCTCTGGGTTAAGAAGAATGGAAGACGTTGAAAATTAATTTTTTGCCAAGATCAAAAGTCAATTTTAATTTTTTTATGTAAATATTTGATATATAATATGATTAACTAATATAAATTTAAACATTTTCGTTTTAATTTTATCTTTGTATAAAGGGTGAGGCAGAGCGGTACGGACTGCACGATTTTAAATCAGATCTATATCATCATTAAATTTCACTTCTCTATATTAGTCACTATAACTAATTTATCATAATAAAAAAAATAATAGTTAATTCATTATTTTTTTTAAGTCTGTCTCAAATTGATACATTTTTTTTAACTTTATTCATATTAAATGAAATTGTGAAAGAGATATAGAAAAGATACAAAGAATCACATGCTAGTGTCTAATTACCTTTCCAGTGACTCATACTGCATACTAAGAAATTTTTATATACTTGTATTAAAAAAACAAACATTTTTATATAAGTGACTTATGTCAACCGAAGAAATTACGGCCTTGTTTTTTTTTTTTTTTTGAAAATAGTTTTTTTGTTTACAAAAACAAAAAATAAAAAAATAAAAAACTTTGTCTGGCTATCTGCTTTTAGATAAGTGTTTTAACCCAAAAAAAATATGTTTTTAAAAACTTAAAAACCAAAATAATTTTTAGTTGTTTTCTTGTTTTTTGTTTTTACATTTTTTTTGTTTGAAAAAATTGAAAAATTCTTTAGGGATTTGAGTTCTCATTGAAACTTCCCTTTTTGGTCTGAGTATGTTTGTTTTCAAATGTAATTTTTTAGAATAATTATTCAAACAATTTTTTTTTTTCAAAACTTGTTTTCAAAAACAATTTTATAATTGTTTTGAAGGGGGGGAAAAAACCAAACAGGCCTGCATTACATTTCAGCATCTTCAATTTCTTTCATGTCCCACTCACCCATGCGAACCAATCACATTGTAGTGAAGGATCAATCATCAATATACAAATCAAGGCTATCCGTTGAGCATTAGTTTTTCCATGAACAGAGTTAGCATTTTACAAAACCACCTATTACTATAAAATAGCCCGTCATAAATTTTTCCTTTTCAAGTATCCAAATGAATGTTAACGTCAAAACATTGTCCTCAAGATTTTAATAAGGCAACTCAAGGGCTTCACTCTTCCTTTTTCTTCACTGCAGAGGAACCAAATCCTCCCAAACTCAGAAAACGGTAAAATCAGAATACAGTAGACCAACAATTCAATAGAATCATCAAAAAGAAAAAAAATCAGCACAAGAACTATGCGAAAACAAAGAGGTAACATGCTTAGATACAAACAAGGACCAACCCAAATAACTTTAAAACAGAGATTCAAGTGAAGTAATCAGAATAGGTGTGGAAGAGATGTGTACTGGACACAACTGAGAGAAGAAATTAGTCTCACTCGTGTTACTTGTTAGTTCTAGATGAAGCTGAAACATCGATATGCACATGATCCAATCACCTTAAATTCATAGTTGGCTTCTTCTTCTTTTTCTTCTGCTGTTTTGCCAAAAGAAGAGAGAATCTGGCAAATCCAAATTTCTTCCTCTTTGCAGCAGATTGCTTCTGCACACTCTCTTCCTTGTCAACTTTTCCCCCACTATCTGGATCATCATCTTGTTTCCCAAGCATCTGACCCAGAGACACCTTTCGTTTCACTGAGCTTCTTCCCTCAACCACGCCAGCTTCATAGTCCTCAGGCACAAGCAGCTTCCTGCTCAGAATTTGTCCTATTGATAGGGTTGGCTTTAGAACTGGTTTGATTTCATCATTCACAAGATTCAATCCATTCACATCAAGTAACCGAGATTCTCTCCGGTAAGATGGGTACGCATTTTGAACTTGGTGGAGTTCTGTATTGAGGACCGCCTTTTGTTACTGTCTGCTCTCCACTTCCTTAATGCCTCTTCAACAGCCAGCTTCCCTCTATTTGCAGCCTCCACCCTTTCCAGAGCTTCTTCCAGTGCTTTCTTGCTGGTTTTAACTTCCTCTGCAGCCTCCTCTACCTTTTTAAGGATATTCATTTTTAACATATTTGCTTCATCAACTTGAAGCATCGCATCCACGACTCTCTTCTGTGATTTTTCCTCAGCTTCTTGAGCTTTCGTCGTGAGATCATGATATTCTTCAAATGACAGAGTTACTCCATCCTGCTTTTGCATAGAATCTCCATTTGACATCCCATAATTTGATAAAGCATTAATTTCAGCTAGGGCCATTGCTTCTGCAGCTCGGGCAGCTTCTTTCATCTTTCGGGCTGCAACAACCTGGTTTCAGCCGTCCTTATCATAGATTTTGTCTGTTCAATCTCAGACACCGTTCTCAAGACTTCTGCTTTTGCAGCTTCTCCCATTTTCTTGAAATTATCTGCCTCAGAACTCAACCGCTGGAGTTCACTGGCAACATCAAAAGGATCTTCAGCATCCTTTGTCAGTTGTAGTCTTACTTTCTCTGGTTTAATTCATCCTCAAGAGAAGATATCTTGGACGAATTATGAGTTAACCTCTCACGGTTTTTTCAAGCGAGATTCTTTCCTTCTCCAACTTCTTATTGAGTGAGTCAACAGAAGCTCGAACATCAGCAAGATCAGTTGTAGTTCTTGCTAAATTTAACTTAGCTTGCTTTAGTTCCATCAATATCGAACCTGGGCTAGACGTAGGGAAGGGGCTCCCTTGGTTTTCCT